CGCCATGTTGGGGGGCTCAGAATGCTTTGCATGGCCCATTGGGTATTAGGCTTTCCTGAGTGTGCTAGATTACTTCATTTTCTGTGCTCCTACAGCTTGTATACTGCAGATTTTAAGAGTGAACTACCCTTATGCATAGATAATGACTTTTTAAGTGCAGTTGGAATTAAACAAAGAAGCTTAATAGCGGCTTCATAGGGTTTTCCTGAAGTTTCCATGGAGACAGTTTAAGTTTAATAGACTGTTCTTTCAAGTAATTGGAGAAACCACCTAACCACGACAACTTATATGTTGGCAATTTTTTTTAATGGTCTTTGACAAGATTCCAAACAAACAAATATACAAGATGGAGGTAGCCTATAGAATAGGAAAATGTATATTATAATAATATAATTGTAATTAAAATATACATTAAATGTCAAAACAGTTAATAAATAATATATTAATATCATCCAAATGTTTTCATATTAATGAATTAAATACATTATATTAATTCATATTTGTAATATAAAAATAACGAATTGATATAGTAAATTGGAATAACACAGAAAGCTTTCTTAAAAGGTCTTGTCTAATAACACCAGGTCACTTCCAGCTTCACATTGTTTGGCTGAATCTTTCGAACATAGCTGCTGAGTTCCTGAGCTCTCAAATTCCTTCTTTCTCAGTTTCCTGCCCTCAAACCAGCCGACCCCCTAACAGACCCCACCAACAACCCCCTCCCAACTGAGCCCATTTAAAAATGATGAAGTCACCACTGCTCTGTTTTCCTTAATTTTTGCACTTCCATTGTTTTTAAATATTAACAGGTGCTACACGGTCTGTTTTCCCAGCCGTCTCGGATACTGTCACATCTGCTTCAGTTTGTACTGTCCCTTTGTGTATTTGTTAACATACATGTGTGTTTCTTCTACAGACAGTTAGAGACATAAGACTAATGCCTTTAGCCTTTGCTTTGTTGCTTGACATAAGACTAATGCCTTTGGCCTTTGCTTTGTTGCTTGATCATTTAGATAGATAGACAGACAGACAGACAGACAGACAGACAGACAGACAGACAGACAGACAGACAGATAGATAGATAGATAGATAGATAGATAGATAGATAGATAGATAGATAGATAGATAGATAGATAGATAGATAGATAGATAGATAGATAGATAGATAGATAGACAGACAGACAGACAGACAGACAGACAGACAGACAGACAGACAGACAGACAGACAGACAGACAGACAGACAGACAGACAGATAGATAGATAGATAGATAGATAGATAGATAGATAGACAGACAGACAGACAGACAGACAGACAGACAAACGGATAGATAGATAGATAGACAGACAGACAGACATAAAGATAGACAGACAGACAGACAGACAGACAGACAGACAGACAGACAGACAGACAGATAGATAGATAGATAGATAGATAGATAGATAGATAGATAGATAGATAGATAGATAGATAGATAGATAGATAGATAGATAGATAGATAGATAGATAGATAGATAGATAGACAGACAGACAGACAGACAGACAGACAGACAGACAGACAGACAGACAGACAGACAGACAGACAGACAGACAGATAGATAGATAGATAGATAGATAGATAGACAGACAGACAGACAGACAGACAGACAGACAGACAGACAAACGGATAGATAGATAGATAGACAGACAGACAGACATAAAGATAGATAGACAGACAGACAGACAGACAGACAGATAGATAGATAGATAGATAGATAGATAGATAGATAGATAGATAGATAGATAGATAGATAGATAGATAGATAGATAGATAGACAGACAGATAGATAGACAGACAGACAGACAGACAGACAGACAGACAGACAGACAGACAGACAGACAAACGGATAGATAGATAGATAGACAGACAGACATAAAGATAGATAGACAGACAGACAGACAGACAGACAGACAGACAGACAGACAGACAGACAGACAGACAGATAGATAGATAGATAGATAGATAGATAGATAGATAGATAGATAGATAGATAGATAGATAGATAGATAGACAGACAGACAGACAGACAGACAGACAGACAGACAGACAGACAGACAGACAGACAGACAGACAGACAGACAGACAGACAGACAGACAGACAGACAGACAGATAGATAGATAGATAGATAGATAGATAGATAGATAGATAGATAGATAGATAGATAGATAGACAGACAGACAGACAGACATAAAGATAGATAGACAGACAGACAGACAGATAGATAGATAGATAGATAGATAGATAGATAGATAGATAGATAGATAGATAGATAGTAGATAGATAGATAGATAGATAGATAGATAGATAGATAGATAGATAGATAGATAGATAGATAGATAGATAGATAGATAGACAGACAGACAGACAGACAGACAGACAGACAGACAGACAGACAGACAGACAGACAGACAGACAGACAGACAGACAGACATAAAGATATATAGATAGATAGATAGATAGATAGACAGACAGATAGATAGACACACAGACAGACAGACACACACAGACAGACAGACAGACAGACAAACGTATAGATAGATAGATAGATAGACAGACAGACAGACATAAAGATATATAGATAGATAGATAGATAGATAGACAGACAGACAGACAGATAGACACACAGACAGACAGACAGATAGATAGATAGATAGATAGATAGACAGACAGACAGACAGACAGACAGACAGATAGATAGATAGATAGATAGATAGATAGATAGATAGATAGATAGATAGATAGATAGATAGATAGATAGATAGATAGATAGATAGATGAATTGATGGATTGATAGATAGATTCATGACAGACAGACACAGACAGACAGATATATAGACAGACAGACAGACAGACAGACAGACAGACAGACAGACAGATAGATAGATAGATAGATAGATAGATAGATAGATAGATAGATAGATAGATAGATAGATAGATAGATAGACAGACAGACAGACAGACAGACAGACAGACAGACAGACAGACAGACAGACAGACAGACAGACAGACAGACAGACAGACAGACAGACAGACAGATAGATAGATAGATAGATAGATAGATAGATAGATGAATTGATGGATTGATAGATAGATACATGACAGACAGACACAGACAGACAGACAGATATATAGATAGATAGATAGACAGACAGACAGACACAGACAGACAGACAGACAGACAGACAGACAGATAGATAGATAGATAGATAGATAGATAGATAGATAGATAGATAGATAGATAGATAGATAGATAGATAGATAGATAGATAGATAGATGGATTGATAGATAGATAAATGACAGACAGACACAGACAGACAGATATATAGACAGATAGATAGATAGACAGACAGACAGACAGACAGACAAACAGACAAACAGATAGATGAATTGATAGATAGATAAATGACAGACAGACAGACAGATAGAGATCGATAGATTCCATCATGTATAATACTGTTTTAAAATGCAACTGATAAACTTAAAGGGGGGTCATTCCTTCTGAATCATTCCGCTTTAATAAACTTTAAAGCGCAGAGAAAAACCTTATGGATAAAACTGCTGGACAGACCCCAGGGGGTTTTACAAGCCAGAAGAGACATATAAGGCATTAACTAGAACTGTTATGAACGCTTTGCTCTGCAGCTGTGCACTAGCGCTACACAAAGCAGAACGAACATGATACACATTTCCAGTCACATCGTGGGATGCATAGCTGTAACAATAGAAATTCTGTTCTCCGAAAAAGCCGTGCCCACTCCCACCCCGTCCCTCAAGGTCCACCCTACACCTGCTGCATGCAGTGAGGGCGAGGAACAGCTGGGGGCACAGTGGGACTGCATGTGTGTGAATGCATAAGTTTGTGCTGATGTATGTGCATGTGTTAAGCTTTACGTGTTTGTTTATCTGTTATTGCGCATAGACATGCCCGCGTGGAGACTGGCATGAAGCGCTTGCTGTCGCCAGAGGCTTTGGTCGGATGGATTCTTCTCATACAGAGAGATACGGAAAAAATGTGAAGCGAGCGAGAGATTACGTGGCTCCCAGCGGCTTCTCCGTCCAACAGCATCTCAAATCCAACGGTGCCATGATGATGCTGCTGTTCAGGCCCCTTTTGTCCGTAAAAATGTTTGTCGTGCCTTAAAGCATTGTCGTTATAACATGCGTCAAATTTGGTCCCTGGATTCATCAATGGATAAGAATGCTTGTGTCTGTGTGTGTGAGCAGGAACATGTGCATGAGACTGAGGATTACTTGTTGAAATAGCAATGGATCAACTCAAAGGCAACTCTGGCTTGATTTGTAATCACTGCCATCTGAATGAATGGCCAGAGCAGCTGTCTATTTGAACAGCTGCTTGTGCAAAAAAGATTTTATAGAAACAAAAAAAGAATCTGGACAAAGTTAGCACGCTCAAAAACCTTGAGTGATGCAGTTTAGCTTTTATAGATAGATAGATAGATAGATAGATATAGACAGACAGACAGACAGAAAGGTAGACAGGCAATAGACAGACAGACAAATAGATAGATGGACAATTATAAAATAATAGATGTACCATAAAGTATACCACCAGATGCCACTTGAGTTTAATTGCTGCATCAAATGCAATGCCAATCATTTTAAGGTGTGACTTAAGTGTCCAAATACTTTTCGCAGTCCCTATACATTTGCTGTAAGACTACAATGACCATTGTAGAATATGGGACTCTGGCCAAAGACGACATATGTTGTCAAATCCTTTGAATGTGTATAAATGTGTATGTGTGTGTGTATGCTAGTGTGTTCAGGATTTTTTCGTCTTTTTTTTCCCTACCCGCCCTTACCCGATATGTAGGAATTAGCGAACATTGCTTAACTACAAACCAACCCTAATCAAAGTGCCGATTCTTTTAAAAGACAGCTGTTGTCATGTGCTTTAATTCACAGCTATCTCCCTTTGTCAAGCAAAGCTGGACACAGTTGTCTGGTCGAGGCAGCTAGGGAACAGGGGTTAACAGACTTCTCTCGGTGAAATGGTGTTTTACACATCCATGCCACATGCCCATCAGTCACAAAAATCAGAGGTAAGTTCCATTTCATCTTTCTACCATTCGCTTTGGGACTAGCAATGCCATTACTCATGTCATTCGATACTTAGTGGCCCTTAAAGTGAACCCTTGGTTGTTACTACAGTAAAGCTGGTTTGCCTGGTGCTGTTTTAGGATTTTAAGCCTGAAACTTCTCTATTATGCATACTTGAGTTCAGAAAACAAATGCTTTGAATGCAAGTTTAGTCAATTTAGATTTTTTTTGTAGAGTAGTGTGAAAGATGTCAGTGTCAGGCATTGGAAAATCTCTGTCATCTGCTTTTTAGAGTTTAGACAAACTTATACTAGAAGTTAAGTCACCTAACTGACTCTTTTGTCTTAATATTACAACATCAAAACAATTAGAAATGGTATGCTGCTGTTTTCTTTGATTTGATAATCATTAAGGATAACCTTAATGATTTGTGATGAGTAATGTGAAATTATTGGTGGATTGTCTTCTTTACACAAGGAATGGCATAATAAATCTTTTTAAGAAATGTCTATCTATCTATCATTTAATATTTTAATATATTATTTTAAATAAATTGAATTTTATTTTAAATAAAATAAATGTTGAATCTTAAATTTACTTGAAACAATTTTAAATATTTTTTACTCACCCTCTTGTTGTTCCAAATCTGTGGAACGTGAAATTTTTCTTTAAAAAATTTAGAACATCCTGGTCGCTCTTTTCAATAATGAAGGGGAATGAGGACTGGTGCGGTCAAGCTATAAAATGCCAAAAAAACAAACAAACATATCATTAAAGGTAGTCTATATGATGTGTGGTTTTCTGAAGTCATGTAATAGCTTTATGTGTAGAAGCAATGTATGTTTGTTCTTTTGAGTCAGCTCTTTTCAACGAATCCGTTTACAAAACTGGTCGAAATGATTAGTTCACAAATGGGACTGATTCGTTTCTTGAATTCACCAAACTGACTCAATTATTTGGTTGTAAAGGTTAATAGTCCAATGGAGGAGACGATTATCCAACTACTTCAATTTTAGCCTGTTTCTTGTGCAAATCTACTATATGACAATAGAAGATTTGGAATATAGAGCTCAAGTTGTAGAGTACCACTTTTTGAAACTTGAAAATAAGTCATACAGATTTCGAATAATGAGCTCTTCATTACAGAGCAGTTTGTCCTTTCTCAAACTTGGTGACTGGAGCACAGCTGCCATCCACTGAGATGAGTTTGGTAGAGGTAAACTTCAGTATACTTTAGGCAATTTGAAAAATCATCGGCTGAGGCCAAAATTCTCAAAAGATGAATACCGCTCTATCGAATGTATTGTGTTCCCATGGCTTGAGCTCGGGGCTGGACTTGAAGGTCTGGGAGTGGGAGTCGCGTTTGATTCCACAGATTTATTTGGTCATAGAATGCTCCCACAGCTGAGAGGTTTGAAACGAGAGCCTGAGCAGGTGCTGTTGTGGGAGGGAGAGAGAGAGCGAGAGAACTTTAAGAGTTTTCATTGCTTCCCTCTTGCATTCTTCCCTTCTCGCATCAGTTATTGTGCCGTGTACTTCAGAGAAAATGTTTGAAAAGACATATGCACCTCTTAAGAGTCATTTTCGAACTGCATCAAATAGATTAACAAAAAATAGTGCATGTAAACATACACTGTAAAAAAAATTTTTTAAGTACAATCAATATTGGATGTTTGAGTCATTTCAACTTAAATTACATTTAAATTGTCGTAAATAAACTTGTAAAAAAGTTGAAAATTGCTTAACTTATTTTGATGAGTTAAAGCAATGTAAAAATATATGTTGTCGCAACTTAATCATATAAAGTTTTACAGTGTACTTGTTTTAAAAAAAATCAAAGTTGATTGAACAAATGTAGAAAACTTGAGTTTAAGAAAATCGATGTAGTCAACTTTTAGACCACATGGAATAAGGAACTAACCCAAAAAATGTTGTTCCAAACCAGTATGGCCTTCTTTCTTCTGTGGTACACAGAAAATATATTTTGAAAACGGTCTCAGTAGCCATGTTTCCATCCACTCAATCGAATTATCTGAAGTTCGGTAAAAAACCTCATGCGAATAAAGCTGGTGAAAGTGTGTTTCCATCAAACGGCTAAAAAAGCGGATAAAATCAAAGCGGATGAAACCCTGTGCGTAATGACGTCACATGCTGTTTTGCGATCAAATTGGTATATCGAATTGATTTGAGACATGTTAAGGTGTTTCCATTCATTTTCTCACCGAATTGCACAACATTCAAGCCAACATTTGCGAACAAAGTTTTACTAGGCAAAATGGATCGCACCATAATAACGTTTCCATCCGCGTTTATCGCATAAGCCGTATATCGATCAAGATAAAATCCGATGAGACCGATCGTATTTCATATGAGTCGATATTCATGAAATTCAATCGAATTTTACTGTTTCCATAAGGCATTTTTCATTCGATATCACTTAATGCGGATAAAAACGTGTGGATGGAAACATAGCTAGTGTTTTCGGTGTTGTTTTGGACCCCACTGATAATAAAGAGACCTTATACCATCAACAATTCTCTACATAGGACACATATCAGACCACACCTAGTAGGTTGCTTGAACTTATAACCAAAACGTGTTTGCGTTAGATAAAACATCTTGAGTGGAGTTACCTTGAAATGTTTTATGTTGTATGTATATGGCTGTTAATCGGAAACCTAAAGTTCAACAACAAAGTCTTTTGGATTCATCTATTGTCGGGTATGGATGGGAGCAGCTCAGCGTTGATCCCACAGATTGCCTTTGCTTAAGCTTAGCCTTTCTTAGAGACGAGATCTAAAGCTTCTCCTCATTCTGCCTTTGTTTACTTCCTCTATCTTTCTTCACCAAACTGAGAAGACCTTATGACCCTGACTCTAAGGTTACTTGTGTGTTTATCTTTTTAAAAAGAACTGAGCTTGACACTATGTCAACAGCATCTCTCGAGCAGAAGGAAACAGCTTTAAGGGGGAGTGAGGGAAAAAAAAGGATTTGGTGTTTAAGTAGTGTAGCACCTAAAATTAGGTGTAAATGCTTACTATTTTCAGTCTGCCAAATCTATTAAACCCAACAATGTCAGTGCACAGAAACTCTTTTCAAATGCAACTACTTTTCCAATGCAATTAAATGTACCTCAAGTGCAATCATTACAAATGAATACACAACAACTCTCAGGTAGAAAGCAATCCACTTAGGGCCCACATAGAACTTATCTTTCCGTACCCCCTAGGGCTCAGTTGGGCATCAATCAAGCCAGTTAAGTGGGATCCTTGAGCAGAGATGGTATCAGTGGCAGCCTCTTACAGGCACACACTTCTGTCCCTGTTATCTATGGTAATTGCTCTGAGACTCTGTCACCAGTGCAGCAAATCTCTCCTCTGTGACTCAAATGCACTACTGAAAAAAGTTTCATTTTAGCCTAACAGTGTGGGTAAACACATTTTTAGGCCTCATTTCTCACAGTTGCACAGTTGAAGGACACTAGACTCCACTTTCAACTGGTGGCTCACATACATGTTTTGGACAGCTGTGGAAAAATCGATGTAAAAGGCAACAAACTGTATCATCATGCAATCCATTCATATTTTTAAGAGGCTTCAAAAGCTGTGTCCAATCAAACCTTTTGATATTTTGGCTAGTACATAAAATAATATAATCTAGTCTTCGTTAATGATAACAACTCTGGTTGAGAACCACTGGGCAGGACCTGTCAGTGGCCCAATATTCCAGTGCCCTCCGCACCAAAATGTGATGGGCCTAATAAGAAAAACAAGCAGCGCGGTGTGGAGCTGCTCCCACAGAGTGAGCACCTTAATGAGGACCATATGGAGCTGCCCAGACATACAGTCAGTGGAAACCCAATGCCTCTTCCCCTTTTTCTTCCCTCTCCTACTCTCCTTCTGTCACTTCCCTGCTTCTCTGTCTCTCACTCTTACGTCCACCTTCGAATTTATAGATGAATAAAACTTCAGGCAATTGTTTTCTTAATGCCGACGTGTGCCATTTTTTCGCCGTTAAAAACGTTCGCCAGCTTAATATGCAGAGACAACTCTTAAGTTTGTAAGTCCCTTGAAAAGTGTAAACACCGGTTCGGTGGCGTAATGAAAACATTGCTATGTTTGTTTTAAATCTCGACTATCCAAACCAGCCCGACAACAGCAACAGCAGCTCAACCAATGGCGTGAGTTTGGGCTGGTTTTTTTCAGCCAATGACAGATGAGGGGAGTCTTTGGGAAACCTGTTTGAAAAGAATCAGTATTCAATTCCATTTTTTTTTCTGGTCTTACTTGGTCTAATGGTTTGTCTCGTTTTGTTTCACTTCTTTTTCCTAACTTACGCTGAGTAGGAGTTCTGGGCTTTTAGCAAATGACCTTCTTCTCCTCTCTTCCCAATACTTCATCTCACTCTCTGTCAAAAAAATTTAGTTTCTTTATTTCTCTGGTTTCTTAAATGGAGACTCTCCGTCCCCTCTCACTGGCCTGGCATTCAGTCCTGCCATGAAGCGGATGGCTAATTTTACCAGACTGACCTCATTCCACTATTGTATAAGAACAAGTGAGTCAGTGTCAGGAGAAATGTACTGGCTTATCCCTTCTTTTCCGTTCCTTTCTTTTCTCTTTCTCATTTTTCTTTTTTACCTGATTCATCTCTGTAATTGACTCCCTCCCTTCTTGTTTCAACCAGAGGAATATGTATATTCGCTGGGTCATGCAATGTAATATGCTCACAAATGTGGGGGAAAGAAAGAACCCTTTCTCCGCCCATCAGCCTTGTCAAGTCGTCTACTGGCTCGAGGTGCTTGTAAGGGGCTCACTGATCCATCCACCTGAGTGAATGAGGTATTTGCTTCAGTGGCCAGATTCTGAATGATGCCTCTGTAGTATCAATACCACTATAGGCCTGAGACAGGAATGACTTCATGGGGCAGCCAGTTCTCCAAAATTAGTATTTAGTAATTACTAGTACCATTGCCTATGCACAGATTGCTGTAAGGGAGACTGAAATGCAGTTAAGTCAGACTTCAAGTGACAAAACCAACATGTGAAGATACAAAAATGTAATAATATAATCTCAATGTATTTAAATATATTTGGAAGTATATATGTATGTATACTAGAGCTGCATGATTATTCGTTAAATAACTGATCCAGAGAGAGGAGTTGTCATGTATAGGAATGAAACAGCTTCACAAACAAGTCTTTTCAACCACACTGTTTCGTTATTTCTGTTACAAACATTCGAAAAGAATCATTCATTCAAGAGATTTGTTAAAAAATGCTGATTCATCCAGTAACGAAACAATTGAAGTCTTTACAAATGAGTCATTGAATCATTCATTCATTAAAAAAATAAAATAATAAATAAAAATTCAAATCTTTTTTTTAAATAGACTGCAGCACATTTTGTCAAAACCTGTAATAAATTACACATTAATTTGTTGTGTTGTCTATTCAGAATTGTGGGATAATTGTAATTGATCATTTTAAAACAAAAGAAATAGAGATTCTCAATTAATCCAGAATCACGCAGCTCTAATATCACACATATAAAAAATGAGCTATAATATCACAATTAATGTATACATTTTGTGTTTCCTCCAAGGGTACAGTTTCAATGGACCCTCAAAACCCTTTAAAACGGTAAGCAATATATTTTTGTTTCCATAATAACAATGTAACCTCATATCTCAAAGCACTAACTGCAAACATGATCAAACAGTAAACCAGCTCAAAGTAGTTCAACAAACCATATTACACTGGAGAATGTAGGATTAGCATCCTGAAGCCCATCATGAAACTGAACCCTCAGGCTAGGCTAAGCTATTTTCATTTCTTCAATCTTTCACTGCTTATTACATAGATCAGAATAAGCTTTGTAGACTTTAGCTGTCCAAAGACATGCTCTTGTGGTTTATTCCCATGCCTGTTTCGGTATGTTTAATTCTTTATCAGTTCATGTATCTGCGAAAAAGGCATTTTCTACTAATAAAAATCAAGTATTAGTCTGGATTTACTCTGATTTGACTAAAACCCAACTTCATACCAGGCATGTGTCAACATTTAACAAATGACAATACACTGTATTAAAAAAAACGAGACTTGTACTGTTGTACAACCTTAAAATGACATTTTCTCTTATAGACAAAATCGTTGATTCTTTGATGTGCATATATTGCACTGCATAACTCCTATAAAGACGTGACTGAGCACTTGTCAGCATTCATGGAGAGGGCTGGCGACTAGAAGCTCCTCCCATGCGATGCTTTTCAGCACTTTTCCTTTGAATGACAGTGGCTGGGGAAGGGAATGAAAAAGTTGTGTGATTTTTCGCAGCCTCAACGCCGATGAGCAGCAGTTGGAGAACTGCAATCAAACTGAATGGATTGGCATGGGGAGAAGCGGCACTCTCAACCTGGCTAAGCGGCAGCTTTGGGACTGGATTTGTCTTTTAGTGGTTTCTATGTGCCTGTTACTCCGACCAGGTAAATCGTTGTTTTTTCCTTCGCTCTTATTTTGCATGCACACATCACGGAACGAGCGATGCTGGGGAAAAAAAAAATACCCTGTCGTTTGGAGGGAGGTTGTTTAATCAACACCACTGAATGTATTTTTAAACTTTAAACGCATTATGCAATCGCTCATATTAATGAGCTATTTAATACGCATTTAGTTCTTCTCTAGGCCAAAGTTGTGCTGCTAACTCGCTAGCAAATCAGCGCCGTGTTTGTGAAAAGATGTAAACCCAGTATATTATTTTAAATATTGGCAGTGAGAACCAAATGTTATACTTGCCTTCTGAAAAGGTGTCCGACGTGAATCTTCACAATTTACTGGTATTTACGCGCATTGCAGAGTTTAGTTAGATATTGTATTAACGTTAGTTTGGCAAAACTTTGGCTAACCTGGCTAGCTTCTCGCCGTGTCGATTTTTAAAGCTGTTTACTTCGAAAGCCCGTGACTGTTGACGATGAAAGTGAGACTTAACGAGTAAGGAATAAGCTATGTGTGAACTTGAACAGCATATATGGGTTATTTACGCTTTACGTTACTAGCGCGTTTTAACCGCCTACGCCTCTGTGAAAAGCACGCGCAGGATGTTTTTTTTTGTGTAACGTTAGCTCGACAGTTTTTTAAGGTCAGTGACTTACATTTTTCTATTTTAGCGAGTGACTTAAATTTTTATCTACAGATTGTTATTTTGTTATTGTTAAGTAAATATTCATTAGACTACAATAATAAAACTAATTATTACAATTAAAACAATTATTCATTAATATTTAATATTAGTCATATATTGTGTATGTAAATGTATCAAATCTTAGACTGAAATACAACTTTGTCTAAATATAAAACACCTCATGATTTAAAGGGTTTAGGTATTGTTTACAAGTCAGTATGATGGCCCACGAATTCACAAAATATGCATACAATCTGGGGAAAGCTAGGCTATATCGAACTATTAATGTTTTTGTAAGCCTATGCTGAAGACATCTTGACAGATCACTATTTTACCATGAGCAATGCACTTACACTTAGTCTAGCTAACTAGCAGGAAAATGTACACCACAGACTATGCTCTGTCTCACAAATTTACATATCTTATCACATAGCCTGCATTTTGCATTAATTTCCACAGAGTTGTAGTTGCGTGGATGATGATTAATGTAGAAAGTAAACCGTATTTGGTATTAAAATGAACATTGTATTTACTCAGTGCTTCATTACTCGCACAATACTCTAAAGTCATGGAAATGCATTGGTCAAAAGGTGTGGAAACCCTGTAAAATACAATTACTGTGTCTTAGTAATGGGAGTTATTAATATTTTTTTACTTATGCTACCGAAATTCCATCTCATTTGTTATTGTTGGGCCTCTATTCAAAGCATTAAAAAGTCATCATATGAAATGAAGCAGTTTCACACCTTTGTTAGACCATAAAGCATTCCAGACAAGGAATGTTTCCTTGGTTTGGAATAGCAATCGCCAGCTTGTAGTTCATTGGTTGCCTCGCGCGCAAGTGTCAGAATGACAAAATACAGCAGTTGTGTAGCTGTTAAAGAGGTTTAGTGTATAGATCGCCAAGCCTAAGAACTTTAATTATGTATATCTCCATCACCAACCAACCATCAAATAATGCTTCTCTCAGTTTTAAATGTGCCTCATTAATGCCTAATTCCTCTTGATTCTCAACAGTGTTCTGCCAAACATGTCGAATTCAGCGCTGTAATGCAGAGTACGTGGCCTCATTCTCACCCTCCGGTGGCTTGCAAGAGGAGGTGCTTCCAGATGTGGACTACTGCATCGCTCTGAGGGCCTACTCGTTGTGTACGCGTCGCACGGCTCGTGGTTGTAGGGGGGACTTGGTGTACCACTCCGCTGTATTCCGTATTAAAGAGCTCTTTGCACAGCACAACTGCTCAAGCGATGGCCCAACGTCGTCGGCTAAAGCACCCAGCACTTCCAAGCCGCCAGTGGTGGACATCTGCAACTATGAAAGCAGGGTGCTCGCCTCAGGACCGGCGGCCCAACAGAAAAAGTACGGACATTGTGGATTATTCGGCGATCCTCACTTGCGGACTTTTCGAGATGAGTTCCAGACATGTAGAGTTGAGGGAGCCTGGCCGCTCATCCACAACCGATACCTTTCAGTTCAAGTCACAAACGTACCGGTGGTTGAAGGCTCCAGTGCTACAGCAACCAACAAGGTTAGTTGTATAAACAGAAGCGGAGTCCTGATACTCATTGTTTTATGAGAATGGGTTAAAGTTCTGAAACCTTGCCATCAGTGCCAAGATATAAAAATGTGAAAAACAAATGAAAATGGTCATTATTTCCCCACCCCTCATGTTGTTGTAAACCTCTTCTGCAGAACACAAAATATATTTAGAAGAATTTTTCATCTTTGTGTCCATACAATGAAAGTCAATGGGGTCCAAAACCTAAATTCTTTGGACCCCATTGACTTTCACTGTAAAGAAAAAAACACTTTATTTCAAAATATCTTCTTCCACAGAAGAACGTAAGTCACATAGCTTTGAAAACTGAACTTTTCATTTAATACTATATAAATGTGTACGCCAAATTATATTAGTTTATAATTTATTATAGAATTACAAATATAGATTAGATTACCAAATAAATGTAACTGAAACTAAAGGGGGAAATGTTATTGCACGGTCCAAAGAAATAGTTTAAACCAAAAGCTTGAGAGAGACAGTCAGTCTCTCTCAGCCTAAAATATGATGTCATTAGGGGGATATTTTTCTCTCTTCTATTAAGGGACGTGGAGTTAGACTCTTGAACCGTGGCGACTATGCAGGACCAAAAGACTATAATAGAATCAGCTGTTTCACAAAGAGTGGGGGGAGCTACAAAAAGAAGGAATGGAAATAAATTATTCAGCCTCCAGTTACGGTCAGTTAGTTCCTGGAAGGTTAACAGACATGAAGTATTATGGTAATATGGAAATGACAATGTCTGTATATTTTATTAAGTCATATAATACCAGGGGCACATACAACTTGTCACTTTGTTAAAATCAGTGGCCCCTGAAAGATTTGTGAAAAGTGTTTATGAGAATAATTGTTTAAGGATTTCTCATTTGGCCCAAGAAGAGCTCATAGGCCTCATTTTTATTCATTGAGTTCCATCAGTGCTATTTCTTTAGCCTTAAATGTAGTGGACATACTTGGACTGATCATGACTAAATCTTTTTGACAGTTGATGGTTTACAGCTCCATGACCTGAGCAGAGTTTTCTAAAATTGTGCAGTTGGATATTCCATTGATTAATCACTGACTTTTACATTAGAGACTGGCTGACGACCCCAAATAGTCTGTCTGGGGTTTTCTCTGTTCTTCTACTGCCATCATGTGGAGACAACTGTTTTTCCTCCTCCTTCTTCTTCACTCTTGCAAGCTCTCTTCCAGAGTTATTCTACTATTATTTATATACTGCTATAGTTTTTGTTAATATTTTGAATTTGCTGCTATTTTGTATATTCCTTTTCTTTTTATGTTAAATTTTTAATAATTTTGTTATGTGCTTTTGTCATTTTTATGTTTCTGTGTAGTTTAAAATATTACTATTGTTTTTAGGTTTAAATTAAATTGATTGATTATTGTTTTTAATTCAAAATATTTGTGGTCATTTTCTCTTCCACTCATTTTCCTCATCAAATTTAGTTGAGATTTTTGGCCTTTTCACCATTTTATAAATGGAGACTGAAAATAAGAAATAATTTGTCTGTCCACACTGCACAATGTGAGACGATCACAGCCAATCAGAACATTTTTGATGTTTAATACATTGGTATCATATAATTTAATAAAGTGATGCAGGATCTTGGACCAATGAGGTCGCTGTTGGTTTGGATGCTTCGTTTGGTTTATTTGACCATATTTGGCTCAGTGTTGTTATATTTAAGTAAAGCTAAAACTATTAAAAATGTTTATGTTAATATAAAGCTGAAATAAAATAGGTTTAAGTCAAAGTACTAAAACTGAAATTGAAAAATAAAAAAGCGAAATAGAAATATTTTCAGCTAAAAACTAATCAAATTTCAAAAGCGCATAACAAAATTACTAAGACTCAATAAACAATAAATAAAAGCTAATTCAGAAAATGAATCAACACTATTACAGTATAAATAATTTCAAAACACCACTGACCAGGGCTGCGTTTCTCAAAATCATTGTGAGATAAGTTGAGCATAGAGATCATTGGTGCCAATGGTTCTGAGATCTACTTAATGTGCTTTTGAGAAACACAGAAGATGCGTCACAACATATAGTTTTTAAAGCAAAAATCAGGCTGCACAAAAACACAATGTTGAAACAATCCTCAAGCCGATTGAAAGCAATTTCATGTATTGATTTTCCGCGTGTGCCATTACTCACCGTTTCCCTGTTTAATCCCCCCCGCAGATAACCGTCATCTTCAAGTCCTATCACGACTGCACCGAGCAGAAGGTGTACCAGGCCACCACCGAGGACCTGCCGTCAGCGTTCCAGGACGGCACGCGGAGCGGTGGGAAAGGAGACGGCTTGTGGATCGTGGAGGGTAGCGGAGGTCTAGGCATACGGCAGGTGAAGATCCACGCTCGCTACCTGGGCACGTCCATCATCGTGAGGCAGGTGGGCCGCTACCTGACGTTCGCCATCCGCATGCCCGAGGACTTGGCGGAGGAGAACGGCGGCCTGCAGCTGTGTCTGCACGGGTGTCCCCGCAGCGAGGTCATCAAAGCCCACGTGCTCAACCGGCAGCAGAGCCTGCGTCCGCCGCGACTCACGGGCGGCTGGTACGGGGAGGACGGCGGCGGCGAGCTTCAGCCGGGACTCTCGGCGCACGTGGACATGTTAGAACGCGCGACCACGAAGTGTCGAGAGATGCTGCAGGTGGAGGATGTTTATTTCCAGTCGTGCGTGTTCGATCTCCTCACGACAGGCGACCCGGAGTTCTCCATGGCAGCGTATGGCGCCCTGGAGGACCTTAAGGCACTTCCGCCCAGCACTCTGAAACAAAGTTTGCCTAGGACTCCACACATTTATAGTAGAGGAACGATAGTTACACCTTCAGTTTTCACAGCGCTGGTTCTTCTGCTGCTGTTGAACTGAAGGAGCTGGTCTAGACGCCAGCTTGAAGATGGATACCCAACCAGCCAGACCGTTCCGTCAACCGTGAAACCCTCCTGGAAAAACAATCAAACTGACTTCAAACTGTCTGCTGAGTTGAGAGACTGATCCGAACCGACTCATTTCCATTTAAACACGCAGCGTTTTATTTCTTCAGAACGGATGATGGCCACAGGCTTTCTGAATGTGAAATCGACAAAGGCGATCTCGAATCTGGAAACAATGAAGGCAGCTAATATGCATATCTATTAGGTTATCGCAGATTAAAAAGTGGAAGCTGTTGATACAGGTGTGACGATAATAGATGAAATTATCGTAAAAGACACGTAGTATGTCCTGTAATGCACATCTTCCAGAATCACACGAGTTTAGGTGCACTTCAAACTTTCTACTCGGACATGGGAAAATATATGTTATTTACACGGGATCCAACAACTACATGAAATGCTACCTATATCCATATATTTTTGGTTCTGGGTCCACACATCCACACATAAAGCTACAGTCACGGTAGAAAAGACCTCTTCAAGCTGCTCTGCTTATTAAGGAGAAAACAAAACAAATTCTTTATATAATAATATATTGAAAGAGTGTATATATGTGTTTTATATGTGTACATTCACCTGTGTATAGTTGTTTTAAATGTGATGTTTTGAAGCAGTTTCATCTAGTTAGATATTTTAGTTAGTATAAAACATAACTAATATGTGCTATATTGTGTAATCTGTTGCTTTCCATATTAAAAAAAAAGTTGTGACTACCTCATGGTCTTTTTTTTCTCTCTCCCTGAATTTGATGACGCTTTCCAATCCATAGAGGGTGCTATATAGTTGAAAGTTTGTGTAACTCGACATTTCTCAGGTTTTTGTCCTTAAAAACACTATTTCTTTACACCAGTGTTAAAGTGTCTTACTGGCAAACATTGAGAAATGTCATCAGAACACTTAGCGCGATTTATGTATGCAATAATGTGCAGTCAGCCATTTGTTATAGCCAAAAATACTAACCAAATAAATAACAACATGAAAAAATAATTCAAGTCGAAATAACTCTGTTATATGAGAAGAAAAAGGCTACGGAGTAATGTGATAGACCAAAAACTAGCATAGAAAAAGCATAAAAAATAGGTTGTAATGATAACCATTAAAGGGATACTCCACTTTTTTTGGAAATAGGCTCATTTTACAACTCCCCCAGAGTTAAACTGTTGAGTTTTACCGTTTTTGAATCCATTCAGCCGATCTCCGGTTCTGACGGTACCACTTTTAGCATAGCTTAGCATACATCATTGGAGTGGACAAGACCATTAGCATTTCTAAAAAAAAATTACCAAAGAGTTTCGATATTTTTCCTATTTAAAAATTGACTCTGCTGTAGTTACATCGTGCACTAAGACCGACGGAAAATGTAAAGTTGCGATTTTCTAGGCTGATATGGCTATGAACTATACTCTCATTCCTGCGTAATAATCAAGAAACGTCACTGCCGTACCATGAGAGCAGCAGGCGTAATGATATGACGCAGCGCCTGAAAATAGTTCCGTTGTGTTGACGGAAGGTGGCCTATTTTCAGGCGCTGCGTCATATCATTACGCCTGCTGCTCTCATGGTACGGCAGTGAAGTTTTTTGATTATTACGCAGGAATGAGAGTATAGTTCCTAGCCATATCAGCCTAGAAAATCGCAACTTTACATTTTCCGTCGGTCTTAGTGCACGATGTAACTACAGAAGAGTCAAGTTTTAAATAGGAAAAATATCGAAACTCTTTGGTCATTTTTTTTTTTAGAAATGCTAATGGTCTTGTCCACTCCAATGATGTATGCTAAGCTATGCTAAAAGTGGTACCGCCAGAACCGGAGATCGGCTGAATGGATTCAAAAACGGTAAAACTCAACAGTTTAACTCTGGGGGAGTTGTAAAATGAGCCTATTTCCAAAAAAAGTGGAGTATCCCTTTAACGTTACCTATCAGAATCAAGTATTCCAGAAGGCCATGAGACTGATGACGTGTGAATCCTGTAAAGGTTTTGATATTTTCATTTTATAAAAAATGTATGTACATTCATAACACTATACTAGGTATAATATTACCTTTGCATCAAAAAAAAAAAAAAAACTAGTTAATGCTGCTGTGAGGGTGTTTCTAATACAGCGGCTGTGGTAGTGACGGTAAAGTTGACATCTTTCTCTCTTACTGCCGTTATCAATCTCTCTCTGTAATTGTTTTTTTTACTCTTTTTGACAGTTGTGAAAACACTATTGTGGGAAATGGGAACACACACTCACACAAAAATACATTCACCGCTATAGAAGTTTACCCAACTATGATGACTTACGCTTCAGAGAAACCCGGAAATGTGAAAGTCATAAACAAATAAATCAACGCATTGCAACAGCTGGCAACCAATCAGAATCAAGATTTCAGTCAACATCATATATATCACTTTCTTAGGTCATTTTCAGTTAAGTGGACATATTTTTCTGGACTCGATTTATCAACGACACAAACAGAACCACACAAATTGATTGGCCGGTTAGCCATGAACACCGTTGACGTTTGCCCTTCACTTTTTCAGCAATGCTGTTTGTGCGTCCAGTGCTCAGGACCCTTCAGGCCTCTGGTATGAACTGGCTCATGGGGGGGGTCGCGTGACGGAGATTAAAACGTCGTCGGTTTAACCACATTCATCATGCTAAACTAAGCGTTTTCCAACACTGCCCTTCTCTTGTACTTCGCCGCTCTCGGCACTCCATCACTCTCGAGTTTTAACTGCGCCCGATGTGAGGAGAAGAAAAGAGGCAGGTTCTTCACGCTAAGAGCTGTCAGAAATCATCTCGTGCATTTAGTGCAGGCCTGTTGCTAACATGCTGACAGCTATGATTCTTTTACACCTGTACAACTGGTTTTATTGTGTTTTTATACCACGGTTAATGTTTGGTCTTCCTGCTTTACAATGCATTCCGTCTTTTAATTAGTCCTATTATAATGAGTATGCTCTTCTGTAGGCCTATATACAGTATTTAATGAGGTATATAAACAAATGTGTAAAAAGGAGAATCCACTTTGTTCTTCGCTCACTTTGATCTAATAAACAAGGACAATTATTGGGCTAATGAATTAAAATAAGCCTCTAGAGTGATTAATAATCACACTGGAAAAATTAATTTGACATTAATAGTATATTTGGCAAGATAAATAGACAGAACGGGACATGTCCGCACGTTGATTGATAATTGATAGATGGATGGCTCTCTTTACAAGAATGCCTTTTAATTAATAATTAGAAACCGTAACCGCGAGCATTTAAAGTCTCACTGGATACATTAAAGGGTCACTTCACCCATTTGCATTAAGGTTTGTATTGTTAGAAACCCTGTCATATATTATAATGATGGTGGAATTTTGCTTGTTTTTTTTCTGAGATGGGAGAAAAAAGGAATTAAGTGTTTTACTTCCGTCCTATCGTGACGTAAATATCGTCATTTTGCGTCACGATAGGACGGAAGATAAATTTCATTGCATATTAAGAAAACTACAGCCTTTAGCTCATTATTATTCAAGGGCGTGGGACCCACTCACCCCACCGGCCTATTACAGATCAGTGGGTGGGACTAAACCTGAAGAAACTAAACTATTAATCCGCCATCTTGCTTGGAAGACAGCAAGCTAAGCTAACAAGCGCTCAAGGAGTTAGATTTACCATAATGCCTGAATTTACGACACACGATATGGAAGACGAGGATTTTGAAAATCTTTTGCTCGAAACTGATACGAGCCACAATATAGTGAAGAGCAGCTGAGGCTGATGGAGGAACAAGAGGCGGCGTCGGCTGCGGCAGCGGCCGCCACAGGAGACCAGCCCGGCGCAGACGAGAAGCCCGGGCTTGCTCGCGCTGTAGCGAATTGGTGGTGCTCGTGCTGTAACTGTGCGCCTATGGACACCGAGCTAGAGTCTGTCTGCTGCAAAGAATCTCTAAAATGCCAATTCCTTCTAGAAGAAATGTCAGAGGCAGACACGGACATGGAGTTTTGTGCACACGGACGTTTGTGTTGTGATGTGAACCATCCTAGTGTCGCACCCCATATGCAGATTCCAGGTATCATGCAATAATTCACCATATAGAAAGAAATACAAACGAGGAGTAGCTGCTAATTCGCTAATGAGTTTGCCAATGTAACGGGGTTCGTTGTTGTGGGAAGAATGAGACGGGAATCGGCGAACATTTAAACATTTTAATAGTAAAATAAACAAATACATAACAAAAGTATAAGCCAGCAGCCCCGCACTGCTGGCCACACACAACAGAAACAAAACACACCATAAAATCAGGCCTGTTCCTCTCTCGATCTGCCCTGTCGCTCCTCGTTTTATGCGTCCGCTCCTCGGTGAGAGACGCGAGAGAGACCAGTGCGGCTCACAGGTGTCGTTCATTATCACTCACGCCACCGGCCTCGCGCCGCTCTCACGTCCCTTGTCCTGCTCGCCACAGCCAACTAACTATACATTTTGTGTGAAATGAATTTCTAACTCTGTTGGCAGCTAACGTTAGCCCCGTAGAGTAGACGGAAAAGTGATTTCTCTGATGTTTGCGACTTTGCGCTGTTCTGGATTAGTGGGAGTGGCTTGCGGAGCTGTGCAACGTGGTGCATTCTGGGAGTTGTGGTCTTACACACAAATGCGCCCTAAAGTTATTTTCTGTCTTTTCTCGGTCAAGAGGGCACCAAATTCAAAATTTCTTTTACATTTCGACTACATATATGACCCACTTTCAATAAAGATTAATGTTGAAATGGGTGAAGTGCTCCTTTAAAGATGCTGTGTGGGATTTTTGGGCTTTAAATAATGTTACTTTGTGACATACATCGTTGAAGTAAGTGTCCGAAAAATAAATCAATAAAAATCACGTTACCTGCACGTGTTACTAGCCAATCAGAAACTTGGGCGGGGATTATTGTATTGTCTTGTTTGGGAAACAATTGGCTTTATGCCACAGCTTCATACTTCCTGAATTTCAGCCAACCCTTTGTTTCCTGTCTGTCATTATTGGACAAACTGATTAATCCAGGTGTGCCTGGCCTCAGTAACAATAATCAGGCACACCTGGATTAATCAGTTTGTCCAATAATGACAGACAGGAAACAAAGGGCTGGCTGAAGTTCAGGAAGTATGAAGCTGTGGCATAAAGCCTATTTGAATCTTTTACAGCGGCTTCAAATTAACGCCGAATAAAAATCTTTAATAAAAAGTCTTTAATAAAAAAGACTTTATAAAACACTTTGTTTATTTTGCACGACTAAAACTTTTGTTATTTTGCTCGATTCACTAGTGCACGTTGTTGTGTTTGGGTATATTATCTATTACTACTATATTTTCACCCAATGTTGGATTCAATCTTTTTGTCAACTTGTTCTCTTTCAATTAGGACTGGTTTTATATTTCTATTTGCATCTGATTAATTGTAGGCCTCATTTATCTGAGAGAAGACATCTCATATTTTGAGTAAAAAAGCATTATTTATGAATAATTTTGGAAATATTAAATAAAATATGAAAATAATTTGCACTGTTGATCACACTAGTCTACTTTAATGTTTCACCAGGCAGTTTGTTTTGAAAAACGTTTATTTTGTACAAAATGGCACAACGTTTGTGGTGTTCCCGGTCAAAAATGGCCGGCTATTGAAAGTGAATGGGAGAGACTGAAACTAAGAGAAAAATGTACTTTTCAGGAGCATGTTCATTATGTTCATGTACACATATGT